TCACAGAACTTCACTCTAACTATGTGGCCATTGACAAAAATAAAAGGTTTAGATAAAATTACAACAAAGTGAAAAGTTTGACACTGTACCTACAAGTTTCTCAAATGCAAATGGTCTAGGGTAATAAGCATAGTTATCAATTTCGACCTGGAAGTTGACCCCAAATAAGTCAATAGTTACTTGGTCACTAGTTTAACTAGTGAATTGCTGTTCAACCGTTGGGTCATTGATGGCCAGAAAATTTAACTAAGAGTGTGTTTGAGTTACATTATTTTGGAAAAATGTATTTTGGAATAGTAGATTGATGGAGAATGTATGGTTGAAAAAGAAGAAAAAAAAATATTCATGTGATGGAAAATATTATTTATTAAAGAACGTGTGGTTGAAAATAAGTAGAAAAATAAAAATGAAGATTTTAATGTGGCTCAAACAAGGACTAAATATGTTTTTTACCTTATAAAACGTGTGCTTGCATTTAAAGTTCGCTTTCATTTGAAATTTAAAATACAAAATAAATGAAATGGTTCATTTCTTGATACTAATTATAAGTTTGTTATATAGAGCATGTTTGGTTAAGATTAAAATCAGATTAAAATTGAAAAATTAACCGTTATTATTAATTTTTATTAGATGAGTGGGACCCAATAACGACTATATTTTCAATTTTAATCAGATTTTATTCTTAGGCAAGCATGCTCATAGTGAATGATATATAAATTTTTCTTACAATACATTACAAATGTTTCATCTGACATTTTGGTAGGCAGTCAGTTTTCACATTATTGACCCAAGTACAATCCCTACCAATTTCCCTTATATATTATTAAATAAATGAAATTGATAGTGGATTGGTTTGGTTTGGATGAAATTGGACTTTGATCGAGGCTATTGCACAACTTTCCAATAAGGCAGCATGGACTTGACCACCTGCCGGTTCACCGCTCTTTGAACGTGTTTCATAAGTTGGTATGATGGTTGAACGTGAATGGGGTTGGGTTAATTAATGGTCAACCCAACAAGAAACCATACTAGTTAGTTTGGTTGAAATGAGTTCTAATCCTGCTGTAAAAAACGAGCAAACCCAAACTGATTCAATTTTGATCGATTCGATTTGTACTTAAGAAAACAATTATCAAATTTCAGAGACATCTAACGAGTTATCAAATCAATTCTCGAGTTTGCTAGCAAAAGTTGAGTTTGTTAGGCAAATATAGAGTTCGAAGTTGTCAATTGAGAAAACTTAATTTTGATGCTATCGAGCCTGCTGTGCAAATCTTGATTTTACAAGCTATAAAAGTATAAATATTGCATGTGAGTTGGTTCAGGTTATAGGTCGAATCGGGTTGGACTTTGAAGAGGAAATTACATCTACACCTGATTTTAAAATACCATTTTCATAAATCAAGTATTTAGTTTCATAATACAAAAATCAGATTTTAATTATTAATTATACATTTTTCATCCCCAATTTCTCCTCCATCTTCTCTATCCTCACTGTCGCTCTCTCTGCCTCTTCTCCTCTTCGTCTCTCCACCTCCAATCACCCCCATTCCATTGCCATTTTTCTTTGCCTCGTCGATAGCAACTCCTTCACAGATCTGTCCTCCTTCGTCCTCATCAACAATCCACATCTGCCTCGTGCGGCAGCACTCATCGCCATTCCTCGAGGTTTGTTCAATAGCATCGTTGGTGCATATCCGTTGTTCTGGTGCGATGGTGGTGCTGTGGC